TCTAAGTGGAAGTTTCCTTGCTATTGAGTGTCATCCTGGTTACATTAGAAAATAGAGATCATTACTCTGTCTTCTCTGGACATGGAGAGGTACAGATCAAAGACTGTACAGTATAGTAAGAGAGTAATTCAAAATTATTTTGCTGGGATCCAACCTAGAAGCAGCAGGGGACACAAAAGAATACCTTTCTCTTTACCCTAGTGGTTTGATTTGGTATGTATTTTTTATTTTATTTTATTTTTTCTCTGGGGGTACCGAGGACTGAATGCAAGGGTCTTAACCATTGAGCCACATTCCCAGCCCTTTTAATCTTTTTATTGTGAGACAGGGTCTCACTAAGTTGCTAAAGCTGGCTTTGAACTTGCAATACTCCTGCCTCGGCCTCCTGGGTCACAGGGATTATAGGTGTGAGCCATAATACGCAACTGGAACATGCTTTTGACTCAAAGGCATGTGACAGAACCAGGAGATGAGATGCAAAGTAATTGATTAAAATGTTCCTTGCTGGGGAAGAACTCTACTATTCAGAGTAGCTTCAGGACATATTTAGATTAATTATCCCCTTCAGAATCCCAGCAACAGAGCTTCCTGGACACAGAGAGACAAATTTTACCTTGCTATCCTTCCAGATTTTCCTGATATACCATGTCGATTTAAGAATAGGTTTCTCTGTGCTGTCGACCACTACCAAAGAAGTATGGTATGCCCACTGCAGACAAATATAACCCCTGCCAGGAAAGAGATCAAGGGGAGGGGTCCGTCATCCCACAGAGTTATAGCTGCAGTGTGAGTTGCTGCACCTACAAAGCTGAGTCCTAGGAGTGTGAAGCTACTTGAATAAGCCCTCTTTCTCAATTTTTTTTTAAAAGAGGGAGAAAAGAAAAAAAAAGAATGAAAGAAAAAAGAGAGGGCCAATACTAAGATTCTGTTACTTTTGTTGCAATTCCTAAGTTTGTTCATTAAAAAATAAAGCTGTGGTTGCCCTCCTCCACCTCTTATTCAATGTCATTGCCTATTTTAGGGATTAAAGTGTTCAGTCCTCTCCCTCTCTATGCTGTGTTATTAGAAAATAAGGAAATTTCAATTAAAGTATATAGGTCCTATTGGAAGTAAGTTATAGCCATAAAACAAATTCTATTCCTGGAAAGAGCCAATTAAATATCAGATAGACCTAATGCTTTGTGAGGGAAGATTGCAGATTGGACACCCACTCCATCTGTGGTTCTCTGGGTGGTGTAGTTCTATACCTCTTTATTTAATTCAGGCACTGCATGACACCAGATAGCCAATGCATTAATGAAGTATCTTTTGCAGAGAAGGTCTCCCCTAATTTGGGTTCATTTATCCCCATAATGGTAAAATTAGGAGACATGTACCAGGAATTTGGCTCTACTTTGAACAGTCTGGGGACCAGCATGAATATCACCTGTGTGACTCTCAGGTTTGGACAATCCCAGGCTCCACACAAGACCTACTGAATCATTCCACATTTTATCAAGACTGAGGGAGATTTATATGTGTATTAAAGTTTGGGAAGGCCTGGTTAAAATAGTCAGAGATTCTACTAGAACTCATTGAAAGAAGTTTCCCGGTACTGGTTGCAGCAACAAGTCAATATTATTTTTATGAAATTTAACTAGAAAAAGTTTGGATGAGTTTCTTTCTATTTTTTTTAAATCTGCAATATATGTTAATTCATTTTAAAGATCTCTTAATGATTTTGATAGCCATGATGGAGAGCTTCCATAGAATATGTATACCCAGAATTTTAAGCATTTGCTTACACATAAATTAGAATTCGTTTTGAATATTGTTGATAGAAAAGCTGAAATCTACAGATATTTCTTAATTTGGAATCTCCTTTCATCCTTTGCCCAAAATTTGAGTATACATCAGATATTGTTAATAGCGAAGGTATATGTTATATTATATTGCAGAAGTAACCAACCAATGAGTGGGAACCTCTAGATTACTTCTATAAGCTATGGATGTATTTATACAACACTATGTGGCTTTATTCTATTTTTTTAAATACTTATCATTCAGTAGTGCTAGGATTGTTCAAGTCATAGGGGATTCAGTAGTGACCAATTGAAACAAAATGTTTTTCCTCACTCTATAGGGAGGGAAGATAGGCAATTGATAGTAAATTTCAAAAGTAAAAGGTATAATGTATTTGATGTGTAGTGTTATAGAGACAATGAGACAGGGGTAGAATAGGCATTGATGGAGAAGGAAAGATTTTTTTTTTAATTTGAAATGGGTAGTCAGAGGTCTTATAGAGCAGGTGCCATTTTATCAAAGATCCAGAGGAGGCAACAGACCCAATCTGGAGGCTACTTAGTCACAGGAAACCAGCAAATGAGATGGTCTGAACCAGGAGTGTGCCCAGGTGTGTTCCAGAACCAGCAAGGAGGCCACATGGTGGAGTAGAATAAGCAAGGACAGAATACAAGGCAAAGTCCAGAAGGAAAGGGTGACAGGGAGACTGGGGGAGCCTGATAGGTCATTGGAAGGACATTTTCATTTGGACAGAAATTAAAAGACTGGAGTGATATGACCTAACCTATGTTTTTAAAGTTTCAGCTTATCTGCCTACTGAATGCTTGCATATCTCAAGTTACAGGGTCAAGGATGCCAGGGAGCATACATTGTCTATCTCCTCTCTCCAACAATATCTGATCTTCGTTCCTTCCTGGTCACAGATGCCTTTCTCATTATCATCATGTTCATTCCTTCAAATCAATATGCACAGAATTGTAGATCTGGAGTGAACTTAAGGCTTAGATAATATAATCACTTCATTTTTAGATAGGAGGAAACTGAGACATGGAAATTCGTATAATGTTCTCAAGGTCACCAACTGAGTTTATGACCCAAGCAGAACTGGAAAAGTGACTTCCACTCCCATGCAGGGTTTTAGCATATAATACAAGGTCTTTGGCACCTGACCAATAAGGATCTCAGCTGGGTCGTGGAGTGGCACTGTAGCCTTAGGGAAATTATATAAATTCTCCAAGCACCAGTAAAATGGAAATGATAATTAAAGCACTTGTCCCTGGGATTGTTGTGGTGATTAACCATATGTAAAGCAGAGTAGAGTGTTGGGGCAGTAGTCAGTGCTCAGAAAAGGGACTCTTTCATCCTCTGTGCAACTCTTAGCTTCACATCACATCCCAGATACTAGAGGTTAGAACCTGTGTCATTTTAACTCTCAGCTGAGTCCTCCACACAGTGCAATATTCCTAATGGTGGTGGTAAGATGAGACAACCCTGAAAAGGACTAAAACAGAAAAATAATAAATTCATAGACTTTAGTTACTTTGCTCAGTACCTATTAAATCTTTATAGGGAAAGGTCATCGAGAAAAGGTAAGACAAAACAATGGTTTACTTATTTAGGTAAATTACACTCATATGACTTATAAGTTCCAATTATAATAATAGTAGCTCCTATTGAGTTAACTCCTATTATAGGTCAAATACTGCACTAGATACTTCATACACTTATTGAATCATTTATTCTGTCTGACAGGTACAAAATATGATCGTTTGACAGAAAAACTGAGGCTCCTAGAGAAGAGGTCACCCATGCACATTAACAATAGCACCTGATAAAGATGGGAATGGAGACTAATTAACCCGCAGGAAATCAGCTCTCCTGTTACAAAGTAGAAACTAGTTTAGATTTATTAAATGAGTATGAGTGCCAGGCACTGTGTCTGTTACTTTATGACTATCCTAGGTATTACTTTCCTATTTTATGAATAAGGAAACAGACTCAGAGGGGGATGGAGTAACTTGTACCAAGTTACACTACCCCTTGAACCACAACCAGAATCTGAACCTTTGCTCTCTGCTGCAATGCTTGGGTTTGAATCACAGGGCAGATTCCCCTTGACCCCCGCAACAACTAACTATCCCGCTGCTTACAGCAACCCCAAGGGGTACCTTGGGAGAAAAACTATGATTTCTTTGATAGTCTCCTCAAATATTGGTTATGTCCCAATTTTCTCAGTAACCATTTAGGTTCAGTCATTGGAAAATGAAGAAAATGCCTTTGGCAACACACCAGAGAGTGTTCTTAGCAGTCTTACCGTGGCGGTAATCTGACAAGCTTTAAAAGCAAAGCACATAAGTCAGGTATGTTTCGATCAGCCCTTTCCACTTGGCTTTCCTTCATGGAGTGCTTTAGTCCTCATTTGAGCTGAATCCATTTCCAGGTCCGATTTAGTGAAGCAGTTCTCCTGATGGGGTCAGCCTCACTAGGGTTCCAACCCCCAGTTCACGTCTGCTTGTCCAAGTGGGCAGCCCAAGCTGCCATCATCCTCCCTTCTCCCCAGAGCATCTACAGCTCAGCGTCTGCAACTAAAGTGCCCAATTCATCTACTACTCCAAGAACATGGTCAAGTTCATGTGACGTGTGGGATCTGTTTGCTCAGTGATTGCAACAAAATCCAGAAATCTTAACACCTCATGCGGTAAACTTTGACCATTGAGAGAAGAGAGACAAGAAAGGGAAGTCCTCCTTCTCCCTGTTCCCTCTAAACAGTGATGGTGGGACAGCAGCCACAGAGCCAATCTGGCCTGCATCTTGTTTTTATAAATAAAGTTTTATTGGAATAGTCACGTTCTTTCATTCACATATTGTCTATGGCTGCCTTCATGTTACAAAGGCCGGGTTGAGTCACATGACAGAGACTATACTCCTCCAAATATCTAAAATATTTACTGTATGGCTATTTCTAGACAAAAGTTTGCCCACCCTGACCTTAGGGACTGCTTCCAGGCACCAACTACCTGGAAAACCTGTACAGAACTGTTTCAGTCAGCTTTTTCACTGCTGTGACTAAAACCAGCACAATTGTAGGAGAGGAAAAGTTTATTGGAGGGCTCACAGTCTCAAAGGTCTTAGTCCACAGAAGGCCAGCTCCATTCCTCAAGGCTGAAGGTGGGGCTGAACATCATGGCAGAAGAGTGTGGCAGAGAGAGGCAGCTCACATGAGGATCAGAGAACAGAGAGAGAAAGGTCACCTGCCAGATACAAATATATACCCCAAAGCCACACCACCAATACCGCACCTCCTCCAGCCACACCCCACTTCCCTCCACTTACCCCTCTGTTAATCCCACCAGAGATTAATTCACTGATTAATTTTAGGCTCTTACAACCTAATCATTTCCCACACACCCCCCCCAACCCTCTCGAATTGTCTCACACGTGAGCTTTTGGGGACACCACAGCTAATCCATAACAAACACCAAGCAATCAATTGTGTCTTGTGAGACTGGGGTCTGCTTGGTGATGAAACTTTTTGTCTTGCATTTCCTTCTTCAGGCCTCAGGCTTCTTTCTTCCCTGCTCTGTGATTTAGCTATGGATAAAACTGAGCATGTGAGCTTTATCACAGGCTCCATTTTCTAGAAATAAAGACAGCTGCAAGACCCGTATTTATGAATTTTGTTCCTCCTAGACATGTTAGTTTTCTCATAAGTAGCATTAAGCCATCAAAAACAATACAACCATTTTCTATTCCTGCCATGTGAATTTGAGTATGTTTTATAAAGCCATTATACATGGAAGGTCTCTGCTGAGAATATTTTGAAAATTCAGATCAACATTCTCTTTGAGTTAAATCCTATTTACCCATCCCAACTCTACCTTTGCCATTCCTAGCTTTGTGTATACATTAGGGGTGATTTTACTACCCAGATTTCACCTCATGGAGTATCATTTTACTTGATAGAACACAATGGGATACCACTTGTGTTTTCCAAGGTTACATTTAATGACCATGTGGGTGGCAACCTTCATCTGTGGTGATTCAAGGTCATCTTGCCTCCTTTGTATTCCTATTCCCCAATAACTAAATCTACTAACTCTTGTAATTTCCTCCCTTCTTATCTGCTAGATTCTTCCTATCATTTATAAGAATTTAATTTACAAGTTCTATTAAAGTACCAACAAAACCCTTATTGTCAGCCCAAAGAAAAACAGTAGATGCTAAGACCGATTAGGAATGATGCTCACATTATAGGAAGCTTGACATGGCCAAGAAGCAAGTTGGGGTTGGGAATACAGCTCAGCAGTAGAGCACTGCCTAGAATGTATGAAGCCCTGGGTTCCATATCCAGCACTGCCTACCTGCTGCTTACCTGAGGAGCTTCTCTCAAGGAAGGGGTACACAAAAGTTAAGACCAACTGGAAGCTGATCAAACCTGATGCGCTCCTGAAAACCAAAACGGAAAGAAATAAGTTACAAAGGTATAGAAGAGATTTCACCTTGATTGTCTCTCATTTGCTCTCCAAAACTCTTGTTAAGATGATCTGGATCAGATATGGTCAGAGAATCAGACTGACCCTATCAGGGACCATTGGGTAAGTCCATCTTGCAATGAGCTAAAGTGCTCTGAAACTTGTCTATCAGTTTCAATGATGAGAGATCATGTTGAAAAAAAAATTTACGTCTCTCTTTCCTCAAGTTGTCTTCCTCCAGTCTCTTGAACTAAAATGAACTATCTGCCATTTACATCTTCAAAGAAAAATTTAACAGTTTTTTTTTTGTTATCTGTTCAAATTTTTTAGTTGTAGATGTTCACAAAAGAAATCATGACCTGACTTAGGAAATAGAGTTTGAAATGAAATGATCTTTATATATGTACCCACAAAATATGTCGTATAAAATCAGGGACTATGCCTCTCTCTCTGGTGACTGCATTCTTCCCAGTCTTCTCTTCATCTTCTGCCTTTCAGGCTTGGGGAAACTCATTTGTGAGTTTGGAAAGTGAAACAAAATCTAAACTCCTTAAAATGTTAAAATGCTTTGATTTAGCCAGAGAACTTTCTCTTTCAGTTAAATGCTGCTTAAATATCCATAGCAACTCTACCTTTGCAAATAGAAACTAATTCTCAGATCACCAACTTAGCTTGCATTGAAGTAGGAGCCTTAAAGAAGTTATAAACATTCTAATTAATAAATTAAAATATTCCTTTGGTGTTCCTATCAATGCTATACATCTGTTCCATTTACAAAAGAGCAATAATTACTTAAGACACTAGAAAAAGTTTGGAAATGTATAATGCATTTGGAACCAAATGTAAGCCCTTATAATTTGTTTAATTTTGCTCTGATTAAAAGCCAGTAAAAGTCATACAGCTTTGGTTAAATAATATACATAGTCTTTCCTTATGATTATGTATATGCTAGACCTATAGAAGCCCACACAAATTAAGCATGAAAAATCAAAGGCCTATTTTAATTTTGCTATAGTTATAAACACTTCTATAGTTCTTGAGCCTTAGAATCACCTTTTAGAGATCAACTTTGGGATCTCAATATCTAGGTTATTACTGACAAAATATCCTGATGGTTTCCAAAAATGACCTAGTGTCATTTTTATCTAGATATTTGCACAATAATGTTAGTACAGATTTATCTTCTGCAAACTAAAATAGAACAAAACAAATGAAAAACCCGGTTACAATTCCTCCTGGATTTTATTTTAAAACCACTTATTTATATGTCTCAGAGCCCTTTAAAGAGTATCCAAACCTGTTGTAAGTTTTGGAAGTAATACTCTCGTTAAAATCAGTATTAAATGTAGCAGAAAAAAAATTTATCATCCCAATTAAGGCCTTACTATTAAGTACAAAATTTCCCAAAACAACAGGATTCTAAAAGCTATAGATGCTAATTCAATTAGAAACAACACTTTATAAAAGATTTTATAAAAGACATTTTTTTTAATCTGTAATGCTGACTCCTATAATTTTGAAAAAAATATCCATAATAATAAGGCTGTGGGAATTTATAATATTGCATCATGTTTTATTTCTGTAAAAGATCTTTATATATGTACACACACACACACACACACACACACACAGTGACTTAAACCCAGGGCTTCACACATGCTAAACAAGCATTCTACCACTGAGCTCCATCCCCAGTCTCCTAATGTTTTATTTTGTTTTGTTTTGTTTTGTTTTAATTTTATTTTGAGATAGGGTCTTTAAATTGCCATGGCTGACCTCAAACTTTCGATCCCCTTTCCTCTGCCTCCTGATAGCTGGGATCATAGAGATGAACCACCACACCCAGCTTCTATGAAAGATCTTGAAGGAAAATAGATTTCCAAAATTATAGAGTTTGGGTCCCACCTGATTGTTTTACACTGTGAGCTAAGATATATGGTGTCTTGCTGATAGGGTAATGCTGGGGTTCAGCTCCAGTCTATT